GTGAAGGGAATCCTCTCTTCCTCTCTTCTCTGTTATGACCCACCTCTTCTGAGTAAATTCTCATGCTGTCTCCTGAGTGTGATGAGCTCTGTGGATGACATGTGAGTGCCAACAGCCCTACACAGACACCTTTGGACTTCCTGAAGGAGCACATTGCTCTTTCATAAGTGAACTTGAACAGGGAAGCAGATACTTCACGTTCCAAAAGGTGCAAGACCAGAAGGCAGCACAGCAAGTGAGCCAGTTGATCTGGTGATCACAAACAGTAAAGTACTTAAACGTTGCCAACACCAATTCTCACTCCACCCTCCTTTTTCCTTCCAGCCACAGAACTGATTCCATCTTTCTGGCATTATTTTATCTGTTCCCTCCCTTGTGTGCAGGAAATTGTTGCCCCTTTAGGATAACTGTGGCAGATTTAGAAGACTTTTTGGATTATTACATGCCTTACACTTCCAGGAAAGAAAGAAAGCTAATTTTCAAGTGTTTAGAATAGCAGAATCATGTTTTTTGATGTGTGTTTGTCTTGGTAAATGACTTGTTAGAGCAATGCCTGCTAAACAGTGTTAACGTGAAAAACTGACATGAATGCCCAGATTACTATAAAGACTAATATTGATGGGATGTGTAAGTGTTCCAGGGTGATTGATTCTATATTGTTAGCTTTGCCCTGGTTTAGAGCTTTGTAAATCTTTTCTCCTGTTTATGCATACATGTGTATGTGTGTAAGCACACGCACATATATGTGTAAGGGTTTGAAATTGGGAAGTAATTATGGTAAGGAGCATGCATGCTGTTATGAACTGTGTGGTGATGAAAAGTGGGAGGGACAGAAGGCATTCCAAAAACGGGTAGAGCTAAACCATTCATAATTCCAGCTGTTAATGTTAATTACAAGATGTTGTGTTCAGGCAGGAATTTTATTATATTTTTGATTCACAACTCCCATGGGCTCATCAAATGAATTGTAAACAGAGGAAATACACAAATCAGCTGCATCTGTGACTTCCAAGGAATCTTTTCTTTCCTTGGTTTAAAATATTTTTTTGGAAACTGACCTGCTTAGACTGCTTCAAAGCCACGGGGGAAGGGAGGGAAATCAGGGAAGGAGAAATTTAATGGATGTCTCATATTGGAAGTAATGTGAATGCTGCATCTTTTCAATCTGTTAATGCTTCCATATGGAAAACAAATGCAATAAAACTTTTCCAAAAACTTGCTTGCTGTTCTTTCTTTCTTTATTTCTTTGTTCCAAATCTTGGGAAAAATCTGTAATAGTTTTCTGAACTCTCACTTGTGTATGCAAGCAGGCAGAAGCATATAAAAGTTAATTAACTTGAGTGTTCAACTTCTAAGTTGAAAAGTGAGTTTACTGGTATATATGATGAAAAGTGAGTTAACTGAGTGTACTGATCTGTTAATCAGTGGTTTATTTCACCAGCTGGGAGAGGCTGCAGCTCTGGTTTAAGTATGTGATGGTTTTTTTCAGACAACGCTCCCAGCTTAATTGTTAAGCTGGATATTGGACCATGGTCAGTCCAGATAGTGAGACATGTGCAGGTGTAATTTGAACTGGCAGAGAATTTGGCCCTAAAGCTGTCTTGATGCAAAATTAGATATATTGAGGGGAGAGGCTTTAGTCACCTAGGCAATTAACTAATGAATGCATTTTTCTGTAGTTCACTGTTTCAGAAATTGTTTTTATTACAAATTCTATATTCCAGTTTGGGTTTATTTTAATTACCCTTATTAGCTATTTGTTCTGGAGGAAGATTAATTACATTGTTTTGGCCTTTTGACCATTGAGGAAAAAATATGTAACTACTGAGTTTTTCTTGTTTCAAACCAAATGCAAATTGTTAAACAGCATTATATAGTACTGAGACTTTCAGTCAGACTGAGTGTTTTGTCTTTTAAATGAGGCATCATCATAGAAATGCCACTGGTACCTGTTGTGTGTGTGTGTGGTGATGACCAGGGCCTTCAGATTTCCTTGTGCTGCACAACTTTGTTGCAATTTGAATGGTATTAAAGTGAGTCAGTATTAGTATGAGAAAGGCAGGCTTACTGGCAGAAAGGCAGACTTTGCTGATGGAAAGCATTTTCTTGGTCAGGACTACCTGATTTCAGGTGCTGGTCCTGTTTTAGTGTGGCCAAGAGAAATTGAAGGACAAACTAATCAGAGCACGTCTGTTGTTAAAAAATAGGTGGTGTTCCCATGGAGAAATGTGTGAAGGAACTGCTGTAAGAGAAGTTCTGCCTTAATCATGATTTTCCAGTGGCAATGCTTCCTGTGTCTTCTCCTTAACAATCAGTTTGTCTCAATGCTTGTCTTTTTGGTTTGTTCTTTCCTTTCATATCTTAAAAGTGCATTGAAAGAAATTAATGCATTTCTTCTAACATTCAAGAGCTGTCCTGCAGATTACTTCTGGGTCAGACCATGCAGCCCACCATCCTCCTCTGGCACTGGGCAGGAGCAGATACCCAGGGCAGTAGTTGAAGAAACAGGGTATTATCCTGCAGCATCACAGTTGTCACAGGTCAACCTTGTCTAACTGTCCCCATGTTTGGAATGTTGTGCCTCTTACTTAAAGAGGAATGTCCAGTATCTTATATTTCTCTCTGTATGTCTTTTCAGTATTGGTTCAAAATTATGTAATTTGAAATAGGGAAAGATGATGCTTTCTAAGCACTTTTTTTTTTTTATTAAGTGGAATAGCTGCATGATGGGAAAGAAAAACAGGCATTGGTTTAATTCAATACACAAAATTCTCACTTTCTAAAATAATGTTGAGAGATTTATGTAAGTATATTTATTTTTAAAAAGTTTCATTAAACTGTAATGTCTTCAACAGCTGTGCATTCCTTCCATCTCCCTTAGATTCTTTTTAAGGCATAACCTCATGCCCTACTGACCATGTAGCCAGCAGCCAAAATTAGATCAAGATACAATTATAAAACTTCTGTTTATTTTGAATACATACTGTGAAGGGATTAGTGAGGTCAGGTTGGGAGAGAGAAAGTACGCCTCTGGCTGTTCTGATGAACTACTTCCTAATTGGCATTAGCATAACCTCAGCCTGACCTTGCTTATTGCCTTGGTTAGCAGATGCTGATAGGAGCAGGTGAGCAGTGTTTTTTGGGGGGAGGGAATGAAGGGTTGCTGCCCAGAAATGTTCCAAATTTGTATTCCCAGATGGCAGCAGGGATTGAAATGGATTACACAAATTTCTGAGGGCAGGGTTGAAGCTTGTGCTCTCAGGGAAGGTTTAAATGCCTGATGTCTGTCTGTCTCTCCTCCTGCTCTGTGCTACTTGTTTTCCTTCTCTCTAGATGCTCACACAGTAAGTGCTCCAGCCGTGTTCCAGTTTGTTACTAACACCCCGGAAACCTCTGCAGTTCGCTAAGGAACAGCACACAGCCAAAGGTGGTCTCCTGCTTTAAGCTGCCAAAGCTTCTGCCCCCTGGTTGCACAGCCACTGGGTGCTGAAAATGCAGTATCCTGGAGGAAAAGCTCATGGTAGTGCTAGAACACTTGGCCAAGGGTCTGCTGTGCATAAATTCTGCTCCTCTCCAGCTTGCCCAGCAGGGAGGTAAGCTCGGGTCCTGGCTGTGACACACAAAGTGTGGCATCCCAAGGGGCCAGAGGCTGCAGGGGATTCTCCCTGGAGCAGGTACATTTGCAAGCTTGGGAGCAGCATGAGGTGCTACAGGCCTGTGCTTAGCATTCAAAATCCTTCAAGGCTTGAATTTGTCCCAAATTACAATCCTGAGGAATTCCGATCCGGTATTGCGTCATTCCTTTCTGCACATTTACTGCTGGGTTTCTCTTAAGTCAGCAGGAGAAACGAGAAACGGGGCATGAATGAAGGAATGAAGTTCATAAAAGCTTTGCATGCAGTGTTTTGGTTTATGATGTGCTTTCTCCTGGGTCTGCTCGTGCTGACTCAGTGTTGCTGCAAACTGAGCTGCTGAGCTGCTGTTGTCTTATTTGTGAGGCTGACAGGGAGTGCAGCTGTGGTGCTGCTGAGCTGCTGTGTGTATTCCTTTCCCCTCGCTGCAAAGCTTTGAATGTTTTGTGTGTTGTCGAGAAAAGTCTGTAGAATTAGAACGTGAGAAGTGTACTGTTCTTTCTTACAGTTTTAACCCAGTTTGCACATTTTTTCTCTTTTCTTTGAGTTCATCAAAACTTGGATTCAGTATTGTTGCTTCTCTAAGAACAGACTTTCTGTGTATCACTTGTATATCATCACAAGTGGATCATACACAGCTGCAGATCTGACTCCTTTCTTACATATACAGAAGATAGGCATAAAAAATTTTACCGTATTTCACACAGTGGTAGTCTTAAAAAAATCATTAAGAAAATTAGTTTTAGTTCCCTATTTCTACCTTGGAGAAGACTACCAGGAAAAAATGGTCAGTGCCCAAATTTGTTGGATCTGTTCTTTTAGTACAATCAAAATGTTTGCTTTACTAAAAGTGACATTTTTGGAAGGAGAATGAATCAGAATATTGACTGACCAAGGCTCCAGTCCCATTTTGAAGCCTCCACTTTAACCTGTACAGATTTTCTCACCTCCCAGCACATTATCTGGCTTGCATTGTGATTTGTCTGACAATTTGGTAAATGGAAGTTGTGTTCTTAAATATTTGCTCTTAACTGGCACAGAGTGAACTTCTAGTGACTAGCCTAGGTGTGGCAGTGGTAAATCCCTGATTGCTGGGAAAAGGTGCAGTATTTTGGCTGTGTCTGAACTATTGCAGATAATGTCCAAAGAAGGTGAAATTTTAAGTTATAACTGTATTTTGTTACTCTTTGGAAGGATTCAAAAATCTATGTGAGAAAAGGTCCATGTTTCCCAAAAGGCTGGCTTTTCAGGAACCATCCCTGTACCTTAAATATCAATGGCAACTGATGACAATACATCAGCAATATTCAGACTGTCCATGAACTTGATCTTGTGTGAGGGTTTTGCTGTTAGATTTGGAGATTGAACTCCCAGTAATGCAGAGTGTCTGTCTTCATTGTTAACTCAAACTGTAATAGCATCAGCCTGGCTATAGGTAGGCAGTTCTGCATGTGCTACAATGCTTGGTGCCCAAACACCTGCTATAAGCATGAGACTACCATAAACTCTTCTCTTTTTGCAGGGCATTGAGCGACTTAAAAACCAGAAACCAACCTGGGAGAAGATCAGTGGCTGGGATGGAATGAAGCTGGCATTTGGAGGTGCCTTCTCCCTGGGCTGGTTCAACCCTTTCTCAAACCTGAACTGCGAGAGCCCAGCACCAGCTGAAGGGGTGGCAGCAGCTCCTGCGTCTGAAATAATGACCCAAGAAGAAATCGAGCAGTTTCTGGCTCGAGAGGTTGCCATCCAAATATTGCGTGAATAAGCAAAGTGTCCAAGAGAAGCTTTCAGGTGTTTTTTTTTAATAATTAATTGTGCTGGAGATTTAAGGGTTGTTTTTTAACATACTTTCTGGTGCATTAAAAAATTCAGGAGTATTGGTCTGGAACAGACACTAAAGCACTAGCAGAAGCAACGCAAATCTCCAGAGAGAGCTTCATAAGTGATGGGGTTCATAAGCTCTTTTTCAGACTTGTGTGAACTGCTTTATTGGTTTTTTCTTTCATGGCGTTTAAGGACATTTTATAATTGTCAGATAGATTGGCTCCAGTTCCCAGAAATGTGCCATCCTAGGGAGTCTGGCTAATCTTTTGTTCTTACAGCCCTTTGGAAGACTAAATGTGTGATGGCAAGATTAGCCAGCTCTGAAGGTTTTCTGGAAAAATGCATCCTCTTTAGCCCATCCCATCCCATGGGTGCTGCTTCTGGGTTATAAATGTTGCTAGTGCACTGGTCTTAGCAGAGGTGGGATGCAGGGCTATGGGTGCAGCACATGGATGAGCTCACCCTGGGTGTGATTCCTTTGGGCTCTGAAATATCTCCAGGGGTTAATTTTTACCCTCTGTGCTTGTGAGATTGGTGGTGCTTGTCAGAGGTGGTGGTGGGCTTGTGATGGTGCCAGGCTGTCAGGAGCATTGAGCCATGGCCAGTGCAGCCAGGAAGCGACAAATGTTGGCTGAGATGCCGAGCTGCTGGTGCTGGTGGGGGAAGCTTTTCCCCGGGGCTGTGGTTCATTGGCATGTAAGATGTGTGGAGTGGGAGCTGCCTGGCTGAGCTCTGCAGCCCAGGGAGCAGGGAAGAGTCTAGGCCAGGTACCAGGGCTATTTTTACAGTGAAAGAGAGGGCGATGTGAGCATCCTGTGATGAAGGTACTACCTCTCTCTGTTTGACTTGTCTAATTTAGATATTTCTCTTTTTCTGGTACTTAGAGTTGGTAGAGAATGAATAGTGCCTCCTAATCTAACTGGGTTTAACATTGTCCTGCTAATACATGCCATTACTCCAGGTTTCCTTACGCTAATTTGAAGCCAATCCCTGGGGGATGCTGGTGAACCTGTAGAAGGAACACCTGTCACTCCAGGAGGGCATCACTGCAGGAGGCAGTAGTTGCAGCAAAATCCTGCAGAGGTGTTGCCAGCTGCTGCATTCAGATGCACTGCAAACACTTGGCATCCTCCAGATGCTACTTTTAATTTAGACTGTTCTTCATTTGTGTTTTTTATTTCTTCTGTAATATGCCTTACATTAATTGTCATTAAATTTGCAGAAGACTAGAAATATACTAGAATAGAAATACTGTTTTCCCCCTACAGAACATGCTTGCTTTTATCTCCCTCTTCCCTGTAACCTGAACCAAAGATAACTGCTTCCTCTCAAAAGGAAGAGAAAGGAGGTTTTGGGATGAAAGTATGGTATTGTGAAAGACCTATATGAAGTTTTTATTATTTATAGGAGTAATAGCAAGTGGAATTGGTGCAAGATTTTTTTTTTTTTTCTGTTTATTTTTAACCCCTCAGAAAGCATCTTTGTGTGCATTGATTTTGTGCATTCAGGGGATAAGATTCTCTCCTGTACTCGTCCTCTACTGCAGCAGTCCTTTTTTCTGGCAAAGGTGGTGGGAACAAATGAAGTGCTTTGGCTGTTAGGAGCACAGCTTCACCAAAATCCAGGGGGTATTTCTGAATAGTTGTCCCATTCCCTGTTCCCTCTGGATGCCTCTTTGTCAGTGAAAAGTAGATCAAGAGAACATCATTAGGAATTGCATATTTATAACCTCTGGGATAAAGGGAAACCCCCCACATTTGAGGTGAAAGGAGATATCCTCATTTAGACATGAGGTCTTCAATGTCTTTGCCCTGTGCAGCAGGGTGTTGAAGGAGGAAGCTCTCCTCTTTCTTCACTAGCCTATGTTCATCTCTGTCAGCATCCCACAGGAAAGGGACATCAGGGACATACACAGGTGTGTAAGGGATTTCCTGTAGGGAGCAATGGGGATGTTGAAAGAGGAAGACTGCCCTTTTTAGCTCATGTTTTCTAATTTTGTCCTGCTGCTCCACCTCTTCATCCATTTAACATCCCTGCCTCTGGTGCTGTGTCTGCAGTGGGAATGGTGCTACAGGGAGGAACTAGTCCGTGGCTGAAAATCATCTTGAGGCAGGTGTATAGGGATGTCAGCCTGGGAGAGAACCCGTGTGCTGCGTTCCAGGGATGCTTCTCAGGACAGGGACCCTACTCTGGATAGGCTTGGGTAGGCATGGATGGAGACAGCCTAATTTCTCCTCCACTCTCAGACCTGGTTCACTTCATCATGAGAACAGTTTTCATTTGCTCTGTTTCCCACCTCTCCTGTTGTTCCTCAGGTGCTGGAATTTATGTTGGGGTTTTTTTGGGGTTTTTTTTTGTTTGTTTTTTGTTTTTTTTTTTTTTTAATAGGGGAAACAGAAAAGTAGTGTGAGGAGGAGGGTAAGAGCCAGAGCAGTCATCTCCTCTCCTCCAGTTACAGTCTGAATGAGACAGGGATGTGTCCCTGGGCCTTACACAGGGCATGGACAGCCAGCTCCAGCTGTGGTGCCTTTAAGACATGGCAGGGTGACTTCCAATGTCCAGCAAATTATTCTGATGTTCCTTGGCTGTCAGTCTCCCTTGTCCCCTTCCAAATTCCCAGTACTCCTTGGTGTATCTCCTTACTGTCTCAATGTAGTATGACAACTGTCAGAAATCACAAGTCTTCACAAATTGGAAAAATCTGTTTTATGCACAGCTTTTGTATAAACCTCCTTCTTTGATGATTGACTGTTAGCTTGAGACCAAACATGATTTTCTTGGAACTGAAATGAAGCTCACTGTTTACCTTCCCTCTACACACTTCTTGCCCTTTGTTAGAGCATACCTTCATGTTCAGACCATGGTCTTGGCTGACTCACCAGGTCCCAGCAAAGACATCCTGGAGAACCTGCTTGTAGTGCCCTAAATTTATGGGGCTAGGGAGGATGCTCCCCCTGCACTGCTCAGTGGGACATGGTCTGCTGAAGATCCTGTCACTGCTCTGACATGAGGTGTTAATAAGTGATGGACAGGGTTGTGGCATATGTGGAAAGTGTTCTCGTACTTCTCACCTGGTTCTTCTACAGCAGGTTTCTATGCAAATAGGGAATTTACATCTTATTTTAAAAATACATCTTTTGCTGTTTGTAACTTCTTTTGTGCCTTTGGTCACTGTTGTGCTTTCTAAAGAGCTAATATTTCATCTGCCAAGCACCACTTGCTCTTCTCTACTCTGCAGACATGATGCACAAGGACCCTGCACCCGCTCTGGCCTGTGGAGAGGAATTCCCACTCCCTGCTGCACTGCCACAGGAGGTGGCTTTTCAGGGACCCTGTGCTGCTGTGGAGCAACACAACACTGTGGGTGGAGGGACAGCAGGGGTCAGGGCAACCTTGACCCCCTTCTATGGCCTGGCAGCCACCTGCGTGCTCGTCTGGGAGTTCCCCAAATCTCTGAAACACAGAAGAGTGGTTAAAACCTTTTTGCCTTTTTAAGTCCTTTTTTTTCCCTCTTCCCTTTTTATGGGCTGGCACATAACCAGATGTAGTCACCATTTCTTTCTTCTGCTCCACTGCCTTGATGCCTGAGCATTTGCCTTTTAAATAAACAGATAAATTACCCCCTATACTACGGTGTGACCTGATTTCCTCTTTATTTGTGGAAACACTGGCAAACCCAGTGCCACTCAGCTGCTGGCTACGGTGTGGGACAGAGAAATCCCTTGCTAAAGGTGGGCTCAGGAGTTGCTGGGGTATGCGGTGCAGCGGTGGGCTCCAGCTGTGCACAGCTGTTGTCTTCTCCAGTGTGGAAGAGCTCCTGGTGAACACTGCCATCAAGGTTCTTCCTGTAGTCCAGCAGTGTTCAGAGTGGAAGGGGAAGAATAGAGGCTGTGCATTTCTAGGGAAGCACTAGTAATGAATACTGCTGGAAATGGCACCTCTTCCAAAAATGCCTGAAAACCCCCAAAAGAAGTGGCATAGGAAGATACGTGAAGAATGGTGTTTGGGGAGACTGTGCTGAGTTTGCTCTTTCTGAGCTCTAAAGACAAGGAAAGGCACGTGCTGGTACATTTCCCAGATGGTAAGCTGGGAGGAGAGGGAATTGCCCAGAAGGGATTTGCTTGAAAAGTTCCTTGAGCTGCACAGCAACCCTTGGTAGGACCACAGCACTGCTGCCCCTCCCAGGCTCACAACCATCTCTGGCTGAAGCTGTTACCAACACGAGCTCAAATCCCTGGTCTGAGATGGGAACATCCCCTTGTGGGTCCAGAGCCATCCCAGTGCAACAATATCATCAAACCAAATCACACAGTCAATTTTCACAGTCTTTATTGAATCATAATTAACTGCAATCAATGCAACTGTGCCCTTAAACCAGTTTAATTCCCTTATCTTTATGGCATTTTTCCTCTTTACTTTAAAAGTACTGTGCAGCAATCAAGAAGGCAAGAAGTGCCCTGTGATGCGATACATTTAGCAAGGCCAACATTTGCACGCTGACAAGGCACCGATCCTACTCGGTGATGAAGATGCCCTTCTCTGTAGAGATCCCTTTGATCTGGTTTGAGATCAGCTTGGCTACAATTTTCTTGTCTCCCAGTCTTGTCGGAGTGCATATTATTTCAGACTTCACGATCCTGCCAGGCATTATATCCCTAAGGACAAAGGAAAAACCAAAATAGTCTCAGGCATGAATTAGAGTTATTTTGAATAATTTCTCTTAGAGGAATAATCACTGCATGCGTTTAGGGTGGGTATTCCCCTTCCCCCATGACCAATTTGGAGCAAATGCAGCCTGGCGTGATGGTACTGCCTGGTGCTCCCAGTGATCCTAGGGACCTTCCCTGGAGTTCCCCGTACTGCTGAAACACCAGCTTTTAAGGAAGCAGCTGTCCTCACACTTGTTGGGCAGCACAGCAGGAGCATGGGGGGAGTCCCTGCCATGCCTGTCTTTCCTTGAGCCTGGCAACTGCTGTGTGGGTCTTTCTGGACAAATGTGGCAGAACATTTCTCCCTCTCTCAGGATTTTTCATAGAGTCAGACATTGTCATTTCTTCCCATTGGTTTTGCCTACATTTACAACAGCTGTCAAAGGTCCCTCTTACTGCAGCTCCCCATACTACTTCATCAAGGGTATTAAAAAAAGACCAAAAAAACCAGAGCAGAGTCCTGCTATGGTCATTTCATTGGCTCATCTCCTTACCCCAGGTCAAATGTTGTCATCTTAAATATGCCCAAGCCCTCCACCAGCAGCTTGCAGTTTTCCAGGGTCACATTCAGCTTGTTCTTGAAGATGAATGCACACTTGAAGTCATTGTACAGTTTGGCTGTTTCTGGCATCTGGTGGAGGAGGAAAGAAAGAAACATACCCAAAGACTGGGATTAGGGGGGTAATAAAGATGCCAGAGCTGCTGAAGGTTTGCTCACCACCAGCATGGACACTGAAGCACTGTGTTTTCCCATCTGGTTTCTCAACACAGGAGGAAGAGCCGTGGGCTTGGAGATGGGCCCTGTACAAACTGCCCTCTCCCATCCCCTTCCTTCCAGCATCCCCTGCCTTCCCCTTTTAGATGGTGCAGTAATAAAACTTTCATTTCATGGCTGCTTTCAACCTTCCAATGAATGTTGAATAGCCAAATAAGATGCCAATACTGAGCATCCTAAGAGGTGTCTGTTTGGGAGATCCCCCTGGGAATGCTATCATCACGGTGGTGCTGGAGTGAGAAGAGCTTTAACTCTTGTCCTGCCAGAGCCCAGCTGGCAGCTGCCTCACCTGGACAGTGATGGGGGGATACTCGAATCTCATTGAGGTCTCCTTGGTGAGTTTGTCATTTGTTTCCTCGACCTCGGCAATGGCAGTGACAAGGATGAGCACTTCATCTTCCACGGAGGACAGTGTCTTCATGTATGCATCAGGTGCTATTTTCAGGGGGATCTGCATCTCTGCAGGAAAGAAAACACAACTTGATGCTTCACAATATGCCCAGGAATTGGATGGCAAAGTCAGCTCTGGTGGCTGGTGTCCCAGGGTGTGGCATGAGCCAGATTTGCTGAGTCCATCCTGCTTTCCCTTCAGTCCCTGTCGGGGGAAGCCCTGCCTGAGTGGGTGGTACCTGGCACATGCAACTCATGGGAAGGCTGGCTGAGCCCCACCATCACCTTGCTCAGACAAACACTGGCTTAGGCTTGCATCCATCACCTCAGCAGCCCTCATCCCTGGGCTGCCCCAGCACTCAGGAAGAGACAGAGGAGCAGGAAGTTGAGCACATCTCAGCCTGCATGCATGAGGGTTTCTCTGCCTGCTGTAAAATTGCTGGCTTTCCTTTCAGTTCAGATTTGATATTTAATTGCCTGGACAACCTTCCAGTGGCTCAGAAAAGCCACAAAGTCAGCAATTTTTCTACTTGCAAAGCTTCCTGGCTTCTGGGAATAAAACAAAAAATGCTTGTCCTTTTCCCTAAGTGTATGTATGTATGTATGTATGTATGTATGTATGCATGCATGTATATATGGGGCTACCTTTGTATCCTGCCTTGCTGCATTTTGACAGTAACAGTATATGAGTGAAAAGACAGTGCTCATCAACAGCAAAGATTTTTTTTTCTTTTTGTGAGTGATTCATGCTAGGAATCAGCAAGGGTTGTTAATTATTTATCATTCGTTAATCTCCTGTTTAGCAAATTTCACTTACATTGCTTGGGATCAAAAATACAACCCAGGTTACTCAATGGTGTGCAGAGCACAGCAGCAAACAGCTCCTGGGATCAGCCAGGCAGGCAGTCATGAAGTGGAAATTTGCTTGGGCAAAGAATTCAGAAAATAACATTCACCAGCATCCCTACCACCCAAATTAGACTGGCAAACAGAAGAAAAAAAAAAAGCTGAAATTTTCAGCCATCTAAATCCTGTGAGGGATCTGATCCACACAGATGCACACACAGCCTGTGGTGACATCTTTGATGTTCAGACAGTGAGGACAGGAGGAAGATGCTTCAGCACACCTCTGTCTGCCCACACTGATGTATGCCTAATCACCTCCTTGAAGCTGCAGTAGGGCCTTCATGTTTTGATCCCTGCTACAGAGGGATACCAGTCTGTAACTGAGACTTCCAAATGCAGTGAAGAGGGAGGTAGGTTCTAGGCAGGCAATTTCTGATGTTCACAAATTACAGAGCCATACACTGGTCTATAGTGGAGCCAGTACAAACACCAGACTGCCACAGTAAATTAGTCTACAGAACACAGCAAGCTTTTTGTGCTTACCAGATGGGCCTTCAAGATTGATGGTCTCCTTGATAGTTCCCAGATTGGCCTGAACTTTTCCGGTATAGTACT